CGGAAACATGAACGCGGAGAGGGTGACTCGCTGTGCACTTCTTCGAAATTTAACAAGATAACCACCTAAAAACAATTACTTGTTTACTCGACTTTATAGTAAAAGGTGTGTCTCAGTTGAACTTTTACTTAATAAATGCACTTCAATGGTCAAATCAGCAGCATGTCGCCGGAGCGGCGCAGCGAAATTAAGCTGATTTGACGTTTGCTACATGCAGACAACGGTGGTAGTCTGTGGCAAGCCGAATGAGTCATTAATAGCCACTTTTACCCATTACATGACACAACGGCATGCCATAAAACTCCAGCGCCATCTAGCAGCTGAAAATGGTAGTATTCAATATTTTCAATGCCAGATTGAAGGAAAACGGTCATATCTCAGCCAAAAATTGGTTTATAAATATGGGAAAAACATCCATAAATAAATCACTTTGGCGTATAAGTCACATGGCATGCAAATTATGCAAAAAACTGTGACTTATATGGCGAAAAAATATGGTACATACATGGTGCATTGTACTTTTTTTCTGATCTGAACATATTTTAAATCTATGGGCCATTTTAAGCTTCTCATAAAAAAACATGACTATGACCATGCTTTCTATTCATCAATTAACTAAATGTTTGTTTTTGTAAACATTGAATATATTATTTGCTTTGGCAGGTTCTTAAAGAGAAAGTTATTATCCACGACAAAAGATTTACTAATTTTCCACTATAAATCTTAGTATTCAATTTGAATACTAGAGCAGTTTGCTTAAAAACTTTTTTTTTCTCCTCTCAGACTCTTCCCTCGCTTACAGTCTGTCTTTCTGTGACAAGAGTGTGTCTGCAGTCTGCAAGTGTTTATGATGATCTGCAGTCACTTCCACGGGAAAGCAGACCTGCAGGGAGCTCAGCCTCTTCTTTAGGCAGGTAACAGCGCACAAACAGCTGGGAACAAACGGCACCCACACAGCTCACTTACGTCAGTGAAGCAATTTCCCACCAACGGGGACAGTTAAACTGACAAAGCACCCAACCTCCTGATTCATACACAAATAAATAAACTCAGACTGCAGCCAGATACATTCAAGATGCTGCTAATAAACGTGGGATGAGAAGCACATAAGTCTCTTCAGTAGCCTCTCTCTAATGTTTGGGAGGGGTATGTCACTAGCAAGACAGTTCCCATGGCAACATACAGGTGACTCAGCCAGTGATGCAGTTGCCCTGACAACCTGCAGTGTGTAGCTTTGCTATGGGAGACAAGCAGAAGAATAAAAGCCCTTTGTGGGTGCTTGATGTTGTGGGTGTTGAACTTCGACACATCAGCCTGAACGAGCGCTGGCCAAGTACAATAAAGTGAGAGTTTTAAAGCTAGAGGCTGCGCTCACACTACATCCAACACCAAAATCTGATCTGAAGACAGTAAAATAAGTACACTAAAATAAACAATTTTATTTGTCTAAGTAGACTTTACTTTCCCTGAAGATGTGTAACAAAATATTTGCCCAATTTATGTGTAACTACATTTAAGTCATTTAACTAATCAAATTATTTCTGCTGTCTAAATGCAAGAGTTGGTGGATGTTAAACAAGAACTTTGTTTTGCAGAAGTTAGTTTATTAATCACGGTTCATGCTCAATAAACCATTAGTTTATTAATATTTCAGGTAAGCCTAACATGTAAAACATGCAGGACAGTGGCCCTCAAACACCAGTACTGGACCTGCCGATTCTGATTTTGGCCGATACTGATTTTGTTTTATAAGCGATACTGTCAGGTGTTATAAGGTCACAATGCACCTTCAATTTTCCAATATTATTTTATTGAAAAAAACATACCCTTGAACAATATCACAGAAACAATTCAAACTTGTTTTAACTGGCCATGAGGTAGTAAATAAAGTTCAGACAATTGTTGTTAAAACAAAAAAAATCGGTTTCTCATGCAAACATCGGACGATTTCCGATTTCCCAAAATTAAGGAAATCGAGGCCGATAAATTGGCTGGCCGATTTATCAGTGCACCCCTAGTTATTGACATAGGTTTAAACACATAAATTGTGCAGTTAGTGCTCAAAGTACAAGCTGTGAGTCAGTCTCAGCTACTACCACACCAATTTTTAGCTCAATATCTGTAAACTAGTTTTTATCACTTTTGTGTTTGCAAAGATTAATTTGCTGTGGCAATCATCTTGGATTGAGTTGACTTCAAAAGTTAATTAGTTGATGTCAAAAGACTGATTACTTTCTGAAGGTCTCATTTCAGTCTGTTCAGTGGTTCGTTAGATATTTTGCCAACAGCATAGATAAGCACATACACATCTACAAATCCACAAATACAGGGAAGAACTGCATCGCTCTACCTTAAGGTGGCAACTACACAACCTCTTTCTAAGGATTAGGAATTTGGGAGTGCAGCTGTGCTGTAGTGATAGGGAAGCTGGCCTGGGACCAGTAAGTCGCAGGTTCAACTTTAGTAGAGGAATGCAACAGTGGCAATGCTGGGGAAAAAAATCCCTTCCAAATTGCAGATTGAAGATTTCTTTTTTGAAAGAATGTAGCACTGATACAGGTGCTCCAAGTAAAGTGTTTCCAACAGGTGCAATTACCTTATCTCGGACATTAACTCGTATATATCTAACTCCATACCAAAAGTCCGTCCTTCTATTTTATCTTTAAATGGTGTTCCTATAGACTCTATACTAGAGTCTATAGGAACACCATTTGAACAGGGAGGAGAAACAAACAAACACAGAATCTAAAAGAAACCCCATATTTCCTATCAGAAATACAATTACTTCATTTACATGTTGCATTACAAAATGTACAATTTGTATTACATTTACAATGCAAACAAACTATAGTAGAGTTTTTTGTTTCTTTTAAATACTTGGGTATTTTGGTCGTTCCACACTCTCTTTTAAGCCCCATGTTGAAAACTTGGTAAAGATACTGAAAGTTAAATTGGGTTTCTTTTTCAGAAACGGATCCTGTCTCTGAACACTAGGAAACACCTTGTAACTGCGACTTTCCTTCCCTCCATTGACTATGGTGACATCATTTAGATGAACTCCTCTACAAGCACCTTGCAGATGTTGAACACTGTCTATCATTGTGTTGCCTTCAAACATCTCCTCCTACATGTCACTTTGTCAGTGCATCTACAGCGTGCGCTCTCAGGACATTATTACCTGCAGTGTTCCCTCAGTGAGGACTGAACTAGGCAAAAGGGCCTTCTCCTTCTCTGCTCCTGTTTCCTGGAATATCTTGCAAAAAGATCTGAAGCTCTCGACTTTGACCAAAGGGATTTTAAACAACTGGTAAGTTCATGGCAAAAAACAACGTAGACGCGTTCCTGTTTTTACAATGTTACATCGCTTTACCATGTATAGTATTATAGTACAGTATACCATAATGCATAGTATTTTACACCACTTTATAATGTAGCTGGGTTTTCTTTTTAATTTCTTCCATTTACTTTTCATTTTATATGACTGTCTATTGTTGTCTGTACCTCATCTGTGTCCTTTGCTTAAAACAGGTCTCTTGTAAGTGAGTCCTCGTGGCGCAATGAGACTAACCTGTATAAATAAAGGTTGAATGAATTTTATTGTGTTTATTTTTTTTTACTGACACTTTAAAATGTACAGTAATCAAATATTTTCTTTACGTTTTTATTTATTTGTTTTCCTATTCAGGAATGGCTGCCAAGATAAAAAATAAACTGTGTGGTGCTAATAAGAAAGGCAAAAATCCTCTGTCTTAACACTGTGGACAACAATAATTACTTCAGGTACATTGTGTCATCTTTGTTGTTTGTGATAACTTTAGAATTACTTCAGTTAAATCAAGCATACCTTTTTAATTTGCTTCATATTTTGGACAGCAGAAGTTATGGCAGTTAGTTTGGCACAAGGTGTACCTCTCCCAAACATCATGCATGAATGTTGCTACAGATTCCTCTGCTCTGGTTGTTCAGACAGCATTTATGTGTCAACTGATGATGTCATAGACCCAGAGCTGTCACACCTTACTATTATATTGATTTACTGCTGCACTGACAACAGGATATAGATAAACCAAATTACAGGACAGTCAGTATTTATAGCCAGGACACATTTGTACGGTGCCTTGTCAAAGTATTCACACCCCCTCCTTGGCATTTTTAACGTTTTGCTACTTCACAACCTGGAATTAAAATGGATTATTTGAGGGTTTGCACCATTTAATTTAAAGAACACACCTACAACTTTGAACAAAAGAGCAAACAACAAAGAGGACAAAATAACAGAAAACTTCAGTGTGCATAACTATTCAGCTCCTACAGTTCTTTATAGAGACACCTTTTGTGACAATTACACTTTGGAGTCACTTTGGAGAAGTCTCTAGGAGCTTGTACATCTTCAAGTTAGATGGTTTCCGCTGATGACCAGCAATCTTCAAGTCTGACCGTGACCACACGTGTTCAGTTCCCAATCTCCACAATGTATCGATGTGTTCTGTGCTCCGTTAACCAGCCTGTGACCCCGTGATGTAAGGTCACAGTTGTAAGTGCTTTACTTGTCATATGCAGGTTAACACCAAGTCAACAATGCAATGAAATGATCAGGATGAGAAGACTCGCTAAAAAAATAATAAAGTATTCAATAAAGGTACAAAAAGTACCAAATTTGAAAAAAAGTTGCAAATATGTACTTTCATGCAAAATGCATTTTCACAACTGGTCATAGTTAATTGTATTCATAAACTTGAACTTTGTACTTGTAGGTTTGTGACGGTGACTTTATAAATTGTATTTTCTATAAAGAAAATACACAATACATGTTGTGTATGTTGTTTAACCTTTTTAATTGTTTACGAATTCTAGTCATGTACATTTCTGTCTTTATATACACGTTTATTTTGGTAGTGTTCTTACCCCCAAAGTAAACTGAATCAACTTTTTTTTTTTTTTTACCCTGGGCTATTTTAAATTGAAGTGACACTCAAACAGCGTAATTTAGTTTGTCCTACCATTACGTGAGCAGGCGTTGAGCTGATGGTTGATATCGAGGGAGCAGGGTTTGCGTGTGACAGCGGTGGTCACAGACTCGTACGGGTTGTCCTCGTCTTCTGGCAGGAAAACATCGAGTGAAGGAGAGGTGACGATCTCTGCTGAACGCTTAGACTCCTGAGGAGGAACACAGAGGAAAAACTGTCTTTTGCTTTCTTTCTTTTTGCTCGTCTTTGTCTGAGGTGCATCCCTAAGAAAAAAAAAAACATCAGTTCAGTAATCTCTCAGTTCAGCTCAAGGCTATCGTTTCAGTCCAAACATGTCTACAGAGCTGGGTTTGGGTCAGTGTTTTCTCAAAATAAAAAGCTGTCAAAGTTTTCAACTCCTGACTTCTTTTATACTCCTGCAACATTTTGTTTGATTTTTTTTTTTTTTTTATAAAAAAAAAAAAAAAACATTAGGCAACTTTGTTTTATGTTTGGACCGCTGACTGCTTCATTTTCAAAGCATCATAAAGGTATGAAATGTACAAACTTCAATTCTAAGATTTTTTTTTTGTTAAAACACCCAAAAGTCTGGTTTCAAATGATCAACAAGTAGAAGTGTCTGTGAACATGCTCTTCTCAGTGTAATAGCTTCAGGACTTCAGCTCATCACATGGTTTGAATAGATTAAATAAAACGAGTGCAGAGAACTCGTGTTTTGTTTTTATTTTGCCCCAGAGCAAGTGAGAACCAACAGCATGATAAAAACTATCAAAACAGTGTCTATTTTGTCTTCTGAAAACTGCAATGGTTTTACAACAATATTTTAGTTTTCTCTAAATTCTGGAGAGAATTACCAACATGTCCACCAGTGATGGGCCTGCATCAAATTTTTTAAAAAGAGTGTGACAGGATATGTAACAATCTTTTGTTCTGCAGATACGGGACGGAAAACCACCTGAAATCAGGTAAACCTGATGAGCCTGGAAAATCTCAGCAACAAGAGGTCTGAGTGAGGAAGAATAAATATGACTCAATAAATATTAAGTCATATACATTGATCTGATATGTTGTGTACTGCCTCTCAGCAAGGAGGTCGTCAGATCAAACCCAGCCTGGGACCTTCCTGGGTGGAGTTTGCATGTTCTCTCCATGCATGTGTGGGTTTTCTCCGAGTTTCCTCCCACAGACCAAAAACATGCATGTTAGGCTGATTGGCAACTTTAAATTGTCCCTAGGTGTGAGTGAGAGTGGTTGTTTGTCTCCATGTATCCCTGTGATGGACTGGAGACCTGTCCAGGGTGTTCCCCACCTCTCACACAGTGATAGCTGGATACGGACACCAGTGACACCCACAACCCAAAAAAGGAAGAAAGGGCTAAAGAGGATGGATGGATGGATGGATGGATGGATGTTGTACACTTTATTGAAACAAAACACATTTACATGCTTCCATCAGTCTCTTAAGTTTATTATCCATGAACTCTGATCATATTTCTGATTCAACAACAACAACAACAACAACAACAACAATCTAAACCCACAACTAAATAAAAACTTACTTTAAATTTTATACCTGGATTATTGAGCATTAATTTTGGTATAATACAATAATGCTTATTTTTGTCATTTGTGTTATTGCAGTCTTAAATATTTTTGAAAGCCACTCCGTTAATAGATATGCACATACCTAAATTATAATTTGAAGGTAGTCTAAAGTACATAAACTATCATTAGTTGAATTTGCAATCTTTAATAATTAAAAGGTAAGTAAATGCTGATTTGGGATCTTTATGCAACAGTTTTATCTTTTGAGAAATTAAAGAGAATTTCACATTCTGCTGAAAAGGTTGAGCCCTAAAGGGCTCAGAGAGTGAGCTGTGGTCCAAAGGTCTTATCAAGAGCCAGATGTGCAGCAAGAAAGAACAAAAAGCAAGGGAAAGGTTATAGAGGCAGGAATAATTTCACTCAACAAGCCAAAACATCTCTTCCCTAGCCACATGGCCTCTGGATGTCAGTTTGGTTCCCAGAACACACAGCTCATCACTTCTGGAGTGTCTGTTGGCGATGTGCCCTCATTGTAACCTTCTTAATGGGATCAGGGGTTGACATGTCACCATGGTGATGAGTTGTGAGGCAACACTTGTTCTCTGCGTGGCTTTAAATATATTTACAATGATGTGACTCCATCGTCGCCCCCTTTTCCTTCATTCAACACGCATTGCTCTTCTTGTCATTCGCTGCTACTACATTACCCACATTGCACTGGGCCATCAATCACACTGAGCACATTCAAAGCGAATAAATCACTTTGGCTGACGGAGCAACCAGTCCTTTGATAATTCCTCTCATCTTCTGCACTCAATTTATTTCACCCTTCACTTTATAAAAGGCCAACAAACTAAAAATAAATAAATTTAAAAAAACACACATCTGCCCCCACCCCACCCCCTCCTACCTCCATCAGCACTCAATTACATTGCTATTACTTGCCAATATTCCATCAGTCTTGTATCCTTCACTCCACGGGCAGCTTGGCTTCAAATGACACTAATTTGACTCGACAGCCTGCTTAACCACAGATTTCACACACCAAGACAAAATATAAAAATAAAAGGTGAAAAAGTGCTAAAAAGTTGTTAGAGCCTACAAAAACTTTACTCAGACATTTTGAACAAGTTCACATCTTAAAATTAAAGTGAATCAAAGCGTTTCCGTGGTGATCTGTAATTAAGATGAATAAAAACAAGTCCCTGTAATATACGACGTCTGACGGGGAGTTTTAATGAAGCCGCTCTAATGAAGGTTTTGTTCTACTTGAAGGGAAACATTTTATCATTTACTAAATGTTTGATGAACAGATTGCTGTGGATATTAGGACGTACCGTATTGATTAATAATAAGCCCAAAAAAGTGTGCACAAGGAGTGGGCCACCGCATAAACAGGTGGAAATCTCTCCAACATCAGGACCAGAAATAACTCATCCAGGAAGCAACATCAGTACATTTTAGCAGCAGAGGTAAGTTAGTTGCTTCTAAAATAAGGTGTGTGTGGGGGGGTCTTGGTGCCAGAACAGACGACACATATCAAAACAGTCGAGCACAATATTTACTATAAAACCCCACACAGGCTGGCTGCAAGCCGAGCAACAGCTCTGCTCTGCTTTTATAGCAGCACTGTCTCATATCGACAGACTTCACAGAAGGAATTAGTAAAAATTACAACAAAACACTGACAATGATTATATAAAGTCAGTAAAGTGTTTTCATAAAGCAACCTGATACCATCCAACCCAAGAAACATTGTTTGGGTGATGCCCTGACATAACAAACCTATTCAATGTCAGGCAGATGGTTATAAAGTTATGGCAGACTTCTGTAGACACTATTTATCCAGTATTGTACAACAAATTAAAGCTTTATATGAATTTTCTTTTGTTAACATTTGGATGATCAACTCATAAAATAAGCTGGTTAAATTAAACGCAGGGGTTCCAAACTCGGGTCCTTGAGGAACACCATCCTTCATGTTTTAGTTGCTTCTCTGCTCCAACACACCTGTTTTGAATAAATGGGTGATTTACAGGCATCTGCAGAACTTGAAGTAATTAAATCGCTGAATCAGGCGTGCAGGAGCAGAGAAACAACTAAAACATGCTTTCTGGTGTTCCTCAAGGACCATTGTTGGGAACCATTGAGTTATTTTTAACCAGGATGACAAATATATATAGAATGCATTTTTTATTTATTTATTTATTCATTTATTTATTTATTTGTTTTATTAGCATTCCTTATTTTTGGACACTCTTTAAAACGTCTAATCATCTCATGATCACATCATTAATCAGTCAAACATTCAACGTTGATTTTATTTTGTTCTAAGAAGTTTTAATTATTTAAGAATGCATTGTAAATAGGAACTATAAGCCTTTTTTTTAATAGGATCCTGATAATTATTAAACCTTTTTAAATTAGTTTGTGTACTTCAAGAGATTTTAAACTTTGACAGCATTTTTTTATTTATTTTACTAAGGCCGGTGAGTAACTGTGTCACAAGGTCAGTTTCGGCAGGAAATGCACAAGATGTCTTTGTAGTGTGAACAGGAAGAGGCTTTTGTTCTTCAAAGCAAAAGAAGATAAAGCTCAAGTAGACAAGTAGTGGTAGATGTGAAAGATTTAAAAAAGAAACTGAAACAACCGTGTTTTACAGGAAGTGACAACATTGAGAGTTTAAATATTTGCACTATAAAATGTAAAGAGAAAACCCAACAATAATCATAATCTTGGTCTTTTTACTAAGACAATCTATTGAGAACATATTCTTCAATTGAATTATAGCATATTTTACTATCTAAGAAAATAACCTGAATTCAGTTTTAATTTTACTAAGGAAGAGATGCTCTGTTTAATTCGTTTAACATTTGCCCTTTTTTCTCATTTGAACTCAATCCTTTCATTTTTACTTGATAATTAGTCACATTACTTATATTTCCTCCTTCCAACTTACCTGTTTTTGTAGAAACTTCAGAAGAAAACATTGAAAAGAGGAAAAACTGCAACGAAACAAAAAGCCGCGAGGATCCAACTTAAACTGTAGAGTCTGACTTGGTGAATCCCACAGAGATGAGCACAAGACAGAGAGCGGGAAGAGGAAAATGAGTTCGTGCCGAGGAAGGGAAGCAGAGGAAGTGGGAGTGAAGTGAGTAAGGAACAGGGATTTCCTCTCACACATACAAATGTAGGAAAACGGGAACGGCGAGCACGTATAGACGGCAAGTTTAATTTTATGTACTGAAGACGGCAACAAAATGAAGCAGGCACTTTTAACTGCGGGGAAGAAAATAAAAATTGAGCAAATTCTTACCGGTTAAAAAAAAAGCATGATTTCCAAAAGACTGTGCCATGAGATAACTTGGTACTCAACTATGGCACACGTGATTCTGAAGATCAAACAGAACCAGCAGTTTAACACTTTTAGCAACGTTACCTGATATTTTGATGCTGCTCCTCACGCTCGGCTCCAAACGAGTCACAAAGCTTTAAACCTCGTAGAAAAGATATAAAGCAATGCCTCCAACAAACGACCCTCTTGGTCCTTCTTCCCTCCCTCCCTCTCTATCTTTCAGGGCAGAGATAGGACACAGAGAGACTTGTGTCTGGGTTAAACAGGAAGACGGCAGACAAACAGAGGCC